AAATCACTTCAACTGCACTCTGATATCTCATCTTGTGAATCTCTCGATCTGTTGAGAGTCCTATAACTTATTCACACATCTCTATTTTCTCAAGAAAGAACATATAGCACCTTATCATGTTGAAACCCAAAAGATTATATACAAATGCAAGTTAATGTTGTGTTGAAATGTCTCAAAGTGTTTTGAAGGTATTGTCAAGAGTAGCAACTAGTTTTGCATTTAATCCCACTATAATCTTGCCTCTGAAACAGAAGGTTGTGGGTTCAAACCCTAAAATTGGATGTGGAATACATATAATACATGTTGACACTGCAATGCAGTGTTGGGGGTGTGCTGCATTGTTGTATGTGACATCCTTTGGTTGAGATGTTAAACTAAGGTCTTCCAAAACCTGTTTCACCTGGTGTCCTGGCCAACAATCCCCTAAATAAAATTGGTCACTGACTTTATGGCTATTTGGGGGATATTTCTGCACAAATTGGCTGCTGCATTTAGCCACAAAATACACATTGTTACACCACTTTACAATATTGCCTGTGAAGCACTTTGAGATGTCTCAATGACATGATAAGGTTCAACATCAAAATGCAAGGATTATTATTATTATGAATTCTGAAAATTGTAACTGTTATTAATTTAGAACATGCTGGCTATTTTTCTGTAATTTTGTACTTTAGAATTTGCTACACATTTGATGCCATATGTTTATTGCTTTCTATTTACAAACAGCCTATTCACCATTGTCACATTGTCTGCATTGTTCACCATGATTGAAAGAAGGGATTTTTTAAGCATATATTATAAAATAGCAGATGGCCAAGGAATAAATGAATGCATTTGGGATTTAGCGTAGTATGTATGGTAGCACTGCCCTAAATTGCAACCTGTATTCGAAAAATTGTTTTCACTGAATATGATTCATGGCAGCAGCTTGCTGTGAATTTGCTGGTTATTATTTACTACGTCTTAAAAGGAAAAGTTGCTCTGCAGAAAAGCACTTTCCCCAAAATTTTATGGAATGTACTTATGGAAGAGATCTTGGGCAGCCTCTTGGAGACTTGCCAATGCGGTGTTCTGCCTTCTTACTGGATCTGGACACCAATCCATCTGCATTAGTTATGCTAATCAGCTCTAGCCTATCCAGATATGAGTTAGAGTTAGTATAATAATACACATGGCTTTGTGGTTATTTGGACATTACTTCAGTTTGATCCTTGAATTATTCATTGTCAGCAGAATTAAGCCTTAATATGATTTTTGCTGTCATTCTATTTCAAATTTATCATCAAATTTACAGTGCAGTTTTTTGTGGTTTGGTTTTGCTACAAACCCCACCCTCACCACTACATTTTAATAGTTAAATGTGTTATATATCTAAGACTTAATCTTGCAGAGACTATCTTGAAATCTTCAAGACCAAGAGAACCGACATAAAGAAAATTCTGCAGTATATTTATCTTCTTACGCGAATCAATGCAAATAAATAATACAGCTGTTGAAGCTGACAAAATCTAGATCACATTTGAGTTTTGTTCTCAATGTAGCAATACTGTACTTTACCATCTCAGAAGAGAAAGTCTAGCACTCTGAGGCATGAACCACATGAAGGGTGCTATATAAATGTAAATTCTTGTTGTTGTCCTGGATTATGATGAAACTTTAAATTTCCACATAATTAGTAAACAATAAACGACAACAATAGAATGAAACCTTTGCAGAATAAATTGTTTAGGGAAAAAGGTTGGGTTGGAGAGTTGACAGAACACTGAAATTGTAGTTACATTGTAGACTCAGTATAGTTGCGAGTGGAATATTGTAGCCAGTGTAGGTTACCATACTTATAAATAGATAAAGATACAAAGAAAGGGATTCAAAAAAGGGCAGTGACCAGAGTTCCAAGTTTCGGATTAAATAACTTTGTTACCCTACCTGTGCCCTTTTGGCCTGCTATCTTGGTGCTTCTGAAAGTAATTTATTTTCTCAATTCCATTTAAAAGTCTTCTCTACCTCTATAAGACTCCTTCTGAGACATCTCTTTTCAAGACTAAAGAGTTCTAACTTGTCAAATCAATGCTTATTCCTCTAATACTGGTGAATCATTCTCTGCAGCGCCTCGAGAACCTGGGCAGCCCGTTCCGTCATGCAGGTCAGAACTGTACATGATACTCTTGGTCTCATGTTACTCATGGCACTGTACAGCTTGAGCATAACTTCTGAGGATCTAAACTCAACTGATATGGCAATATAGCCTTGTTCACTCTTGCTTTACATTGTTTTGATATAGTGAGTGATGAGTCAACTAATACCCCTAAATTTATTCCAGCTCCCCCCACCCCGCACCCATGCGAGTCCCTAAATAGGGCTCGTCATTAAAGACCTAGCCATTTTAGTGAGCAGAAGTTTAACCAACATAGAGATAGGTAGAATGTACAACACAGAAACAAGACATTCAGCACAACCAGTGCATGTTGGTGTTTTCACTCCACTTGACTCTCCACTCACTCCTTCAATCAAAATTAAGTTCCTCATCCTAACTTTTAAAACCCTCCATGATCTTGCCCCACCCTACCTCTGCAACCTGCTGAAACATTACCAGCCTGCCACTCCCTCTGCTCGGCAGGCACTGGCTTGCTTTATGTCCCCCACCCTGCCTGCTCCTCTATCAGCAGGCAAGCCTTCAGCCTTTCTGCCCCCACCCCACTCCATCCCAGAATCCCTTCACCTCAACCCTTCCCTTTCCCTTCTTCAGCGTCCATCTCAAGACCTTCCTCTTTGACTGTACCTTTGGCCACTTCCCACTCTCATTCCCCTTGCCCTCACCCCTCTTGAATCCAATGCCCAGCTTGGATGCAATTCCGGGACTGTCCAGTACCTTGGAATGTCATCCCAACATGAACGACATTATATAAATGAATTGTTGTTGTTGTTGTTATATTCCTCTCTCCCTATTGTGAAGATCTAGCTTCCTCTTGAATGCATCCACATTATCTGATTCAACAACTGCTTCAGGCAGTGAGTTCCACATTCTCACTGTCCTCTGCAGGAAGTAGTTCCTTCTAAATTCTTTTTTAAATCCCCTCATAGCTACTTGTGTCCCCTGGTTACAGACACCCAACAAGTTGGAATATTCTATTGATATTGACCTTTTTGAACCCTTAATATCTCAATGATATGATAACGACTATATCAAATGCAAGAATAATTAAATCAACTTGGCAGAGACACCCTTCAATTATAGGTGATTTTTATGGTAAAAAGTTAACTTTTGAGGATGATGATGATGATGGTGTTTGCTGGTGATGCTGATGGTGACAGTGGTGATGGTGTTTACTGGTGATGATGATGATGATGATGGTGGTGATGGTGTTTGCTGGTGGTGATGATGATGGTGATGTTTGCTGATGATGATGATGCCATTTGCCGGTGGTGATGGTGATGATGATGGTGTTTGCTGGTGGTGGTGGTGGTGATGATGATGATGGTGTTTGCTGGTGATGATGATGGTGATGGTGTTTGCTGGTGATGATGATGGTGATGGTGTTTGCTGGTGATGATGATGGTGATGGTGTTTGCTGGTGATGATAATGATGGTGGTGGTGATGGTGTTTACTGGTGGTGATGATGATGGCGATGATGATGATGGGGTTTGCTGGTGATGATGATGTTTGCTGTGATGGTGTTTTCTGGTGATGATGATGGTGTTTGCTGGTAATGGTGATGATGATGATGATGGTGATGATGGTGATGATGATGGTGGTGATGATGGTGGTGACGATGATGATGGTGGTGGTGGTGATGATGATGATGGTGGTGGTGATGGTGGTAGTGATGATGATGATGATGATGATGATGTTGGTGGTGGTGATGGTGATGGTGGTAGTGATGATGATGATGATGGTGTTAGCCAGTGGTGATGATGATGATGGTGATGGTGTTAACCGGTGGTGATGATGATGATGGTGATGATGGTGATGGTGATGATGATGATGGTGATGATGGTGATGATGGTGATGATGGTGAGGATGATGATGATGATGGTGATGGTGTTAACCGGTGGTGATGATGGTGGTGATGGTGATGATGGTGATGATGGTGAGGATGATGATGGTGATGATGGTGAGGGTGATGATGGTGATGATGGTGATGATGATGGTGATGATGAGGATGGTGATGATGATGATGGTGATGATGGTGATGATGGTGATGGTGATGATGATGATGGTGATGATGAGGATGGTGATGATGATGGTGATGATGGTGATGATGATGATGGTGATGATGATGATGGTGAGGATGATGGTGAGGATGATGATGGTGATGATGAGGATGGTGATGATGATGGTGATGATGGTGAGGATGATGATGGTGATGATGGTGATGATGGTGATGGTGATGATGATGAGGATGATGGTGATGATGATGATGGTGATGATGATAATGATAATGATAATGACGGTGACGGGCGGCGGTAGCCGAGTCCATTCGGTAGTTTCCGTGGCCCTGGCTGCTGCGGGGGGGGGAGAGGGGGAGAGGGAGAGAGAGGAGCACTCGGGCATTTCCGTGGAGAGCCACAGCCTCCAGCAGCCGAGTCGGTGAAGCGGGGACCTGATCGCTGTGGCTGTAACATGGCGGCGGCGAAGGGAGACCACTGCAACATCTTCGATTAAAAACTCTCAGCCTTTTGCACCCCCCCTGCCCCCCTGCCCTGCCCTGCCTGCCCTGCCCTGCCCCCCCCTGCCCTGCCTGCCCTGCCCTGCCTGCCCTGCCTGCCCTGCCCCCCCTGCCCTGCCCTGCCCTGCCTGCCTGCCCGGCCATGGAGCCCCGCTTCACCTCCACACCCCGGTGCCTGGGAACGCAGAGAGAGGGTTTGCAGCAGTCGGAGGAGGAGGAGGAGGAGCAGCTGAAGGAATAAGTAAAGTTGCAGAGCCCTCTCGACCAGCGGAGCGGGAGGGGGGAATTTTTTCCTTCTTTTTTTTTCAAACCCCCCTCCTCCACCCCCCCCCAGGAAAAAGTCGGTGAAAAAAAATGTCGGGCTCCAAGGTGAAAGTGGCAGTGAGGGTCCGGCCGATGAACCGACGAGGTGAGCGGCAATAACTATCTATAATATATATATATATATGTATCTATATATATATATATATATATTAGCGATTATATTCGCAAACTCTGCTCTTTTCTGGGGTGTTTTTTTTTGCTGCTGAAGCTCACGGGGTTATTGCTGGCGCTGTGTGTGTGTGTGTGAGTGAGAGGGGGGAGACACGGGCAGAGCTGAGAGATTCACATTCAAAGACTTGTCCCCCCCCCCCCCCACCCCCACCCCCATGTTCTGCAGAAATTGAACTCAACACAAAGTGTGTGGTGGAAATGGAAGAGAATCAGACCGTCCTTCACCCACCGCCTTCCACCAACGCGACCAAGGGAGACAACAGGTAACCAGCACCGCGTATCCGTGCAAACTTCCCCCCTTCAAAGCCTCCTATTAATCCTTCCTCATCCCCCCCACCACCCTCACCCCCTCCTCTCCAACCCCCTCATTTTTGCCAAACAATAACCCTTCTCACTTTCTGCCCCCCACCACCACCACCCCCTCACCCCGCACATGCCCTGGTCAGATGCCCTCTGCATTAAGTCGGGGCTTCCCTGTACTGTATTATTAGTGCAGATTATATTGTATTATTCAGTGCCTCTTATTAATAATCATGCACTTTTTCTTATTGCAAAGTCAACCCCCATTTGGCTTTCTCTCCCCCCCCCCCCCCCCCTTTGCCCATATGCCCAGTGCTATTAGCAGGGCGGGCTTTTTTAATCTTATAGTTGTTTTACACATGATTTAACTTATGCTCACGCTGCAAAGTGAATTTACAGATGCAATAACAGACCGAGCTTTGCACTAACCGCGATCCACATCCCAAACTGGAAATCAGGGATAACAAAATCTGTTATTCTCATTAAAATTGGGGGTGGGGGGGGGGGGGGGGGAGGAAGGGAGGAGGAGGAGGAGGAGGTGGTGGTGGTGACAAGACTTGTCTCAGACGATCCAGACTACAAACGGCGCCAGTGTACACTTTCTAGCTGGTCCTGAACTAAATGGATCCGAGATGAAAAGTCAAGCCTCTTCCTCCCACCCTTGGGTTCGCACTCCGCTTGAAATCGCATTCTTGCAGACAGCGAACGAACTCACGAGCGAGTGAGTGAGCGAAGAGACTTACTTTTCTGCCCGGTTTTCCCCAACAAGAAAACCACACACACACACACACATACACACACGGCACAAGCCTCGATCCAATACAATCAATTCCGTGGGAAAAGTTTGCTAATCAAAGGAAAGATGATGTTGGCACACGTCCAAAAAACATTCCGCAGGCAACAGACCATAGAAATTGAAAGAGAAAAAGAAAAGAGGGGGGAAGGGGGAGGGGGGGGTGGGGGGGGAGGAAAAAGTCTGTCTTTATCGGGAGTGAGAGAAGGAAATGCATATAAAAAGAAAAGATTTGCACATTGTGTGGCGATCAGACTGTTGTGCTTGTGAGAGTGAGCAGTGAAGTCAGTGGCACAGAGAAAGAAAGAGAGAGAGAGAGAGGGAGAGAGTGGTTGGGGTGTAATGTCAGGGCTGATGGTTAGTCACTGGGTTGGTTATTCCTTGTCCAAGGGATGGTTTCCTCCAGACATTTGCAGGTCCCGAGCACTTGCGGGTTGGCTTTTGTTTTAGAGAGAGACCGAAAGCGTCTGTTCCTGTGGCTCTTACACAGACTCACACCCAAATAGATCACATCGATCTTCATCAAAAGGCAATAACTGATTCTAGAGGGGTAAAGGGGGGGGGGGGGGGGAGAGAGAAGGGAAGGAAAGGGGGTAGGGGAGAAGAGAGAGAGAGAGAGAGATCAGGAATCAATGGAGAAATCTTAAAACATTTGCAAAAATTGGAGGGAGTGGGCTTTCTGCTTTGAAGCTGTGTGTGTGTGTGAGTGTGTGTGTGTGTGTGAGTGAGTGTGTGTGTGTGTGTGTGTGTGTGTGAGTGTGTGTGAGTGTGTGCCCAGCCTTAAACAGTGCAAGTTTTACACCTCTCTCTGTCTGTTTAGGAGTCGGTTTGGAGCAACACTGAATATTACCGACTGAACTCTTTTATCCCCCCAACCCCCTCCGCCCCACCTCAAAGTTGCAAACTTTTTAAGATAACTCGATTAATCCCGGGGCTCTCTCTCTCTCTCTCTCTCTCACTCACTCTCTCTCTCCCTCTCCCCCCCCCCCTCCTCCTCCCACCTCCCTTAGAACCAGTTATTGGGTTTTGATCAAGATTAATGATCTCTCTCTGTGTGTGTGTGTGTGTGTGTGTAAGTCACAGTAACAATCCCCTCTTCAGTTGACTGACCTACACGGGAGAGACACACGGCTCTCAATGTACAGCTCAAAAAGCTCTTCATTCCCACGGAGTGAGTGAGTGAGTGAATGAGTGAGTGAGTGAGTGAGAGTGCAGTGCAGTGTGTAACAGTTTGGAAAAGCAGGTGTGGTTTCTTTGCCATTGTGGTAAATAAGCGATCGTGTCTCACTGGTGTGTGTGGGGGTGTGGGGGGGGGGGGGGGGGGGGGTGGTGGTATGTGTGTGTGGTGGGGGGTGTGTGTGGGGTGGGGGTGTGGGGTGTGTGTGTGTGGGGTGGGGGGGGTTGTGTGTGTAGGGTGTGGGTGTGTGGGGGGGGGGTGTGTGTGGGGGTGGGGTGGGGGTGGGGGGTGGGGGGGGGAGAGAGCTGTGGACTTGACATTGTTAGAGAGTGAGATAAAGCTCAGGATCCAGGTTCTTTGTGATAAGAAGTGACTGAACCCCACCGATCTGTATTTAGCTCACAGTTTGTAGGGTAGGGCCTCTCGTAGGTAGTTGCCTCCGGCCACAATGTGAATGCGGTTCAAGATAATGCATAGTTTGGGGTTAAAAGGTTTCGTAATGACAATATCAAAAGCACAGCTTCTAAATTTAGATCAATTGCAACGAATGGCAACAGAATATTGCTGTGGTGCTTTATCGATCGTGTAACATTAACTCCACGCGATCTGGTGTCAGCCTTTTATTTGGACCCTTAATCGAATCGATTTAACTCGAGGCAACATATCTATATAACAGTGATCAAAGTTTCACTGGGAGTATATTATCAAACACTTTCGTTTTGTCAAACACTGTTATTTCAAGCCTCTGGGACGATATCCCACCTGAAGGGCGCTATATAAATGCGAGCTCCAATAATACCAACGTTGCATTATATGAACTACTTTCAGCTATGGAGCAAAAGTCTCTTTTTAATATATATATATATATATATATATATATATATATTAAAAGGAGACTTTATTTTGTGTAATCTGTTTTGGTGTTTGCTATATTTCTGAATGGATTGCCCAGCACAGCTGGTCTGTTTTGGGGACTCTATGGCAGCCAATTAGATGGCGACCCCATTGCACTTCGTGGGAAACTGGGTCAGGAGGTGGAAATATGAACCATAATCTGGTCCCAAGTCTAAAATAACAATCCTTTAGGATGACAGGAGTGTGACTTCTGCTCATTTTGTTCAGTTGTATTGTTATTTTTGTAGCTCCAATAATACCCAAATTGCATTATACAAATGCGTTCAGCTGGAGAGAGCAGCCCCTTACTTAATGGATTCATTTACTTTAGTGTGTCTCATGCTTGCAATATTTTATTCATTGGAATTTGCTCACAAAACAGACGCTATGTTTTGCGGTACTGAATATTCTGTGAAGCACTTTGCTTCACAGGATATATTTGATGCGAGTATATCCTGTTCTTCTGACATGAAAAGTGCTTGATACAAGAATTATTATCATCATTATATGGCACTGAACCTCGGAGCTGGGGAGCAGTTAAACAAAAGCAACAAAATAAATTCTCAGCCAGTGGAGTAGAAGGGATTCTACAACTGGTCTTAGCCACTCCCTCACCCACTGAATTAGGGAGGGGAAAGTCAAGATCTGATGTGTACCTGTTTTCTTTAAATCCATGAAACACTGTCCCTGAGTTAAGCCCCATCAGGACAGGGGAAAGAATTTCTCTTTTGCATCATCCTTTGCAATGTAGTAAATCAGACTTTTCTTCCACTCCATTTTTGTTTCTCTTTAAGTATTTTAGTCAGGGACAGCTTCAGATTTTATTTCTTTGCAAAAGAAAGATCTTGTGCTCTGTAATCTCTTAAACTGCCGGTCATATTTTGATAATCTTATCATCTAATTGGACCATTCAGAATTTTCATTCAATACTTTGATGACAGATTAAGATATCACAAAGTGTACAGTCCAAAGGGTGTTAAAATGCAAAGGGTCAAACTAAATGCAAAGAAGATGCCTGTATACAATAATAAAGTTGATATATTCCCATGAGAACTCCCGTATTCATATTTATTTTGGACTTATTTTGAAATTGTCAGTTTCACTGCTGCAAAAAACACATAGACAAATTAAAGGATCCTGATCACTGCAGAGATTTTTCAAAGAAATTTTTGTCACAAAAATAAGTACCCATTTCCTGCAGTTCTGCAGCTCTTGATTTCATTATTTATGATCCCAACCCAGATCCCATCCTCTGTAGTACATCTCTTTGGTGAGATATTTTATTGTAATTGGGGAGTGAGTGAGCAATTGATTGAGTTGGGCTTTATTCTTGGCTTGCTGAATCATGTCCATTTGCATAAATCTATTTTGCCAAAGCATTGGTTGAATTCCTGAGGAAAAACCATGGAAATCCTTAAAAGTCCAAGATAGAAAGAGGTTCTCCCCCTCCCTCCCCCACACCTTGCATCACACACAACACACAGAATAATCTTCTCTCCTGAAGCCATTTTCTTATGGTTGGGTACAGTCCTGTGAACGACTGATTTGCTGTGTGAACCTTGCTTCTTGGTGTCAACAGGGTATTTGATCATGAAGATCCCACTAGCCTGGTAGTTTGCTGGCAGTGCTTCCTGGCTCAGTACCATATAAAGTGAGTCATTTACTTGATGTAACATTGGGGAGGAAAGCACAAGGACAAGGTCCTGATTGCCAAAGACTTGGGAATTATTGTTGCATTTTGTCCATGAGCACAATTGCTGTTTTCAGATCTTTGGAGAGTGATGCACAGTGGTAATTTTTATGACATACAGGACAATTATGCCAAATTCTAATGTAATATTTCTAATGGGGTTCCTGAATAATACGTTTGAGTTGCAAACGGGGACTCGGTTATTTAACAAGAAGTATGTGACCTTGAAACATTGGGCCCATTCCCTTTCTCCCTTGCTCAGCAAGCAACCCCGACACTATGCAGCACCACATTATCCTATGGAAGTATGCTATATAAATGCAAGTTATTGTCATTGTATGTTGTATGAGAATGGAGTTCGGACATGTTGTGAGACACACCTCCACTTCTCAGATGGAGTCCTTCTCCA